CTGAAAAGCTAGTTGAAGATAAACACTTTTTAAGATTGACCTCTTGGTCATGCAAGTAGTCCAGTGTCTCTCATGGCCTTTCCTGTGCTTTGCAAGTTTATCAGAGCTCTTCCATTTGGGCCTCTTTTCTCTTGCTGTGCCCTAAGCCTCCTTCATTTAAATGTTCTATTTAGCTCAACTACTGTGCCTCATTTAGGTGGCCTCTGGTGTTGCATGCATAGGAACACCTTCTCACAAGAAACCTTAAAAAGTCTGGTGCCTACTCAAGTTTTACTACTCAAACCCCGAGCAAGTGTCTGCAGAGTTGTCATCTCTGGTGGCATTGCAAGTGTCACCCCAAGTGACCTCAGTGTGTTAATGACTCGTACTGCAAGACTGTGGTAATATTTCTTATTGTGAAACATTTCTTATTGGAAATATTTCTTATGGTGGTGCTGGCTATATGTCGGAAGTTGGTGTGTGGTTTGTGATAGCCCTAAAGAAACTCCTGGCAGGGAACTGCATCCCTCTAAGTCCTGCTGGAAAACAAATGCAATGTCACCAGACATGTCTCAAGGCTTGGGCACAGCTGCATGTGATAACGCAGGGTATTTGGGCATAAGTATTCTGCCAGTGATGAAGTGATACGAGTTACCAGGTGTGCTTGCTCCACAGTTGTATTGCCAGGGCAGAATGAGTGCTCTCAAGAGGCCTGCTGGTTGTTTCAGTCCAGGTTATCACCTCTCTTGTGGTTCTGTTCTACACTTTGGTCTCCTTCTTTCTAAAAGGACTGGAAACTACGTCACTGGTTCAGCACATTACTGATTTTAAACAGTAAACGAGGAGTCTTTCAGCAAGTGGCTCTTTTGCTGCAGCTGGTTTGACTTGAGCTGCCTTTTCTGTCACCTGCAGTGGTGACAAAGCAGTGGTGCTGCTGACAGCTCTGGGATGTATCAGGACAACTTAAGTCCTTTCTGGTGAATGACTTCAGAAATTATCACTGTTTCTGAAAGGAGGTTGTGGTGAGCTGGGGGTCAGCCTCTTCTCCCAGGTTATTAGTGACAGGACAAGAGGGAATGGCCTCAAGTTGCACCAGGGGAAGTTCGTGTTGGAAATTAGGAGATACTTCTCAGAATGGTCAGGCATTGGAACGGGTTGCCCAGGGAGGTGGTGGAGTTGCCATCCCTGGGGGTGTTCAAGGGAAGGTTGGATGTGGTGCTTGGGGACATGGTTTGGTAGGTGATACTGGTGGTAGGGTGATGGTTGGACCAGATGATCTTTGAGGTTTTTTCCAACCTTAATAATTCTGTGATTCTTTTGCTCGTTGTATTTATTGTTTCCTTTTTCCTGAAAGCATTTTTCTGGAAACCTTTATTAGCTGTTAGTCAAGTTGCTGCAGCTTTCATTCAGTGTTTGATTTGGGAAAGGACTTGAGACAAATCCAAGGAATGCCAAGCTTCTAGATATGTCCAAAAGCAGTTGATAGTCTCCAAAAAGACATAAGGAATGTCGGTGACGTGCTAAACTTTCAGTTTTCTCAAAAGGAATGAAATCGGGAAGATCCTAATCAAATATTAAGTAATGATGCTTCTGCCTGACAAACATTTGCACCATGAGGCTGTTCTTTGGTCTGTAATTACATCCTCAACACACCACAAATTCCCCTGCAGGCAGAGCAGGACCCTAGTGAGTTGTCAAGCAGCAGAAAGACTCCAGCCAATTCCATAACTTCACTTGGTGATAGTGGAAATCCTGGCTCTCAGAATTGGGGTTTCTGAGGATTTCTGGAAAGGAATATTGAATACCTGGCTTTCAGGGACCCATGGCTTTATCTGCTAGCAAAGATGAAACAGCAGTAGCTGCTGGGGAGTTTAGCTGATACAAGCATCCGTGAAGGTTTATTGCACGTGGGATGTGGCTCATATGTGGATGGAGGTAAATGGTGTGTAATCAGGAGTCATGGCTGGAGCCTGCAAGTCAGTAACAGCCTGCACGATGCCATGCTGACCCAGCTAGCTCAGCAAGCCTGGGCTGCATCCGTGCTCTCACCGTGCACCCAGCTGCTGCAGATGGAGACAGCCACGGTGCTGGTGCCTTGGTACCAGCTGCAGCGGAGCCTGCTCAAAGTCCAGGGTGGCAGTGTGGGTGCTTGAGTGTCGGGTGAGCATCTCTGCTGCCTGCCTGAGCTGTTCAGCTAAAGGCATTCCCAGGAACATCAGCTGCCATTGATGTGTGCTTCAGGAAGAGAGACTTGGTAGCAACAGACGGAGGCAAAGGAGCAGCAAATCCTGGCTTGCAGCATGGCCCAGCCCCAGGCAGTGCAGCACCATAAGGCTGCCTCTGAAACTGTTTACCAAATGTGTAAAGTGTAATTTAAAATCCTTCTGACGAAGGCTTATGTTTCCAGGTGCACAATATGAAGTGTGAATTACATCATCAGGTACCGTTGTCTCTCATACAGGTTTCTTGGAGCACACTGGCTTAGGTTTCTGAGAAACGCCTTGCTTTGTGCAGCATGGGAGGATATGAAGGAAGCAGTGAAAAATCCTGAAACAGGGGCTTGAACTGGTGGCGTCAGTTTTTCCACTGAGCTGCTAACTTTTGTTAGCAGACTAGACTGATGGGTCCTAAACAGGGTAAATAGTCTGACCAAAATGCTGTGGGAATCAGACACTTCAACACCAGAGAGCCAACATTTATTAAAATACGCAATCTGATTAGGTGACAGCTACAACTTATTCCCAGGGAAATCCATTTAATTAGTTGGAAGGAGTCAGGACGTTTGATCTTCCAAAAGAGAGGCTTCTGAGGGCTGGTAAATATGAATTCAGGAGAGAAATTTTGCGAGGTATTTGCAATGCCGCCTTCTCATTCAAGCAGGTAAAAATCATCACAGCCTTCAACTCTCTTGCTTTTCCTTGAACATGATGAATGCTCATTCCAGCAAGTGCTTCAGGTTCATGTTTCATCTGCAATCAGCCCAGTTCTTCCTATGCAACTTCTCTTGTTGCCAGCAAACTCAGGCAACCTGAAATCAGGTCAAGTGTTATCGTAGCCCAATGGAGAAGCTGCGCATCAGATGTTGTCCACAGTAAGCTGGTAAAACCAGGATTGTGACCTCTGTGCTGTGTGGCTTCAGGAAAAGAGGTTTCCCTCTTCCACTAATGGTGCTGTTGGTTTTAGAGATTCATTATCCCATCTGCAGCTGTTTGGTTCCTTGTGGATGCAGTGCATTTGACGCTTTCCAAGTTCTCCTTTTTTCTGTTGACGATGATTCTCTGTGCGTATTGCCAGAGCAGCCAGCCCTAGTTCTTTACTGCAGACAGTGTTCTGCATTTTGTGAAAGCTGGGGGTTGATCCACAGGAGGATACTTCCAGCTCAAAGGATGTATGCAATTTCCATGTTCGTATAAATGTACAAATGTGTCACAAAAATTGTTTTCAAGAAGCCTGGGGCAAGGATTGTACTTGGAAAGGTTCTGCCATTCGTAAACAACTGTCTTTTGGCCATTTCTCCTGCCTTCCTGCAGTGCCTTAATGAGCATGGTACAGAAATGTCTGCTCCTTTACCTTGCATAATTGGAATGTGTATCCAAATTTAGCGTTTCTTTTGTTAATTCACCCTTTGAAGAGGGTAAACTCTCCCACTACCTGCTTTGTGGGCACAGGATAATGGATTTTATTGTGACTGGGTCATAACAAAAACAAAACAAAAACCATCACTGTGGTATATCTACAACATTGTTATATGCAGAGGCTGTGGCATGAGTGGGCAGAGGTTTGAGACAATTTTGAGGTAGATAGTGCCTTCCCAGTCCGCCTGTCACCAAGTGATGTGAAATGTCCCTGCTTTCCTCTTCCTTACAAAACACCAGCCCTTCACCCACCTCCTCCTGATGTTAAATATTCCTCCGTTGGTTGGAAAGTATCTCTGTAAGGATTTCTAGGAGGAAGGAGTGGAACAGCTAATAACAGCGTTAAACCTGACCTTCTGTGTATGCTTTCCCTGAAGTGGTGCATAAATTAACATTCTGGCAATAATACTGAGCCTGTTTAATTTTCTGTTTGACTAGAAACATTGAGAAAATGTCATGGTATTTGATTTCATCTTTGTCTATTTTTGCTCCTGCTGAATGAAGCTTATTGGGCTCTTGAGACCCAAGCGCGCGCAGCGTGGCTGGGAGCAGGCTGGGTATAAAGGGGCACTGTCCCTCAGGCATGCGCTCCGCAGCCACGCAGGAAGTATTTGGTTTTATATTTGAAGGCTGGCTGAGGTTCCCTAATGGCTGTTAATCCACTGGTTTGACTTCGTCCTGAGCCAGACCCTGCGCAACCTCAGAAGTCTCGGGGTTTCTGTTTGCTTCGCATAAGCATTCAAAAATGTGTAGGAATGGGAGCCTGTGCACCAGGCTGAGGGTGCAGGAGCAGGACGGGTTGAGGGAGGGGTTACAACAGCTAGGTATTTTTTCCTTCAATAATAAAAAGTAACATGTCCTTTCCAACATTGGAAGGGGCAAGCCACCTTGAAGGAAGAGGAGCCCAGCCCAAAGGGACTCTAGTGTAAGAGGCAGCAGAGATGTTGAGACAAATGTGAGAGTGGGCTGAGAAGCTCTGGTGCTGTCAGCATCGTTCTGGTGCAGCACGGAACGAGCTGCGGGCCTGAGAGCAGTCTGTGTGTGTCCCAGGGAGTGGGAGCACCCATCCTTGTAAAACAAGAGAATGGCGATGTCTCCAAGAAGATGTGTTGGTAACTGGGCCTTCTTTTGACGTTTTATTAACACATCATCATACTCTTTCCTTCCTGAAGAGGAAGAAAAAAGAATGAAATGTGTCCCTTTCTGTGTCTCTGCCTACACGTATGTGCTGCTCAGCAGCATTTGTGTTTGGAGCCCCTGGCTGATGGTGGCCATCCAGGCTGCACAGAGCACACAGGGGAAGATAGTCACGCTGCAAGGGGCTTACACTCTGACCGAGATGACCAGCAAAATGTGATCTTTCTTTTTTTCTTTTCTCTTCAACAGAAGCACTAATAGTGCAGCTGGCTGAGAGCATGTAGGAATGGCAGCGCTAGCGGTGGAAGGGAAACCCAGATCTCCCAAGTACCAGACCAGCAGCTCCTTCAAGGTGCACCCTTCTGCACAGTATTTGCTCTGGTTGCTGTTTGATGCTCAGCTCTTCTGTCCCTGAAGTAGAGCCCGTGCTGGGGCGAATGCTGGTTGCAGCTGATGGAGAAAGCCACAGTGTTCTGGAGGTGAGCAGGTTTTTCTTTTCAATGATTACTTCTGGATAACTTTGGAAATTTGGGAGTTTTGGTCTGCAAGATGGAATTTCAGCTTTCAAAGATCATTTAAAATTACCTATTTGTTTGTACAAATTAACTGTGAAACTGCTTTTGCAATTAGACACCAGGTATCTCTGTAAAGAATCACCTGCTACTACAAATAACGTCCAGAAAATGAGTGAAATTCTGGCATTTTCTATATCTCTTTGTGCAAAGTCAGTGGCAGAATTAGGCTGACAGTTGAGACACGTCAACCTAGGAAAAGAACATGACCGCAACTTGATAATTTTATTTCTGATGGGGTTTCTTTTTTGTCTGAATTGAGCATTGCTGGAATTTGCACTGTTGCTGTCCCTGGTGCAGCAGAACTGGTAGCAAGTGACCTCTGGATGCAGACAGGTCTCTTTGTTGGGTGTGACAGCAGGGAAGGTTTCAACCAGCTCGTGCAGCCAAGGGTGCTCTTTTCCCAGGGATGCTGCTAACCACCCTGGCACTGCTTGTCTTGCTTTCTCCATTTCGTGTGGTATTGGTTTAAAAAAATGAAACAATTTTTTTTTTTCCACTGCTGGCTCAGAGTACTTTTGCTCATGGCAATTTTCATACCGTTGGAATAGTTATTCACCCACCACATGAATATCTGTATGTTTGAGTCAAGATTGGAGCCTCTAGTAAGGAAAAAAGAGAGAAACCAGACCGCAATCAACACTCATCTTTGTGTTATTGGTGGAAACGGTCTTTATACGACATGGTATCGGGTAATTCTAAGCAGCTTTTGTTCTATAGGGGTGTCTCTGCCCCACGTTAATGCTGCCCCCCTTGCCACAAAAAATCAATGTCTTATAGTGAAAAACAGATGGGGATGCAGACGTATTTTTGAGCGTGACGTAAAAACCCACAAGCATGAAGTAAAGTTTTCCCCTGCAGCGCACGCTCCCAGCAGCTCCTATAACCAGGAGCTCCTGAAGGTCGGCTCTGTTCTGCGTGCTGAGAAGCAGATGGCTCAGCTTCGTGGGCTGCATGCACCAGGAGTGATAGTGTCATAGTCCCTCTGTGAGGCTTGGTCACTTACAATGCTTAGTCCCTTGAGGTAGATTTTCAGTAGTGTTACTAAGAATATATTTCTGGAATTTGTTGTGAAAATGCTAAACAAGCTCTTAGGTGTTGAACAAACCGAGGGCTCTGAAGCTGCAATACCCTAGGGCTCGGTTTTGCCATGGCCAAGCCCGAGCTGATGTGCTTCTGCTAGCCCTCCCTGCAAGGTGAAGGGATGTATCTGTGCCACGTACAGTGTACAACAGGTGTATGGTGAATTGTGAGGGTCTGGCAAGGTATTAAGAGGTGAGAACCCCCATGTTTGGCAGTACAATGTTAAAGGCTTTCTATGGTTGGTAGGGGTTCAGTAACAGTGTAAAATGATGATCATTATGTCAAGTACTCAGCTTTGTGACTAGGAACCAAGGCGCCCTCACCAGCCCCAGAACAAGCTTGCCAATGCTCTCCATCACCTGCGGGTGAAGCAGGTGGCAGGGTAGTTGCAGGAGGAGACACTGGTGGGAATTCCAACTCAGGGCAGTGTCCCAGGTCTGTATTGACTGTCAGTGACGTGACTGATGACCTGTTATCCTGGTTTGGATAGTGCCTGGCATTGTGGAGACGTGAGCTGCATCCGGTCCTCGTACAGCAATGCACATAAATAACAGCGATCCAGTGGTGAGTTCCTGCGCTGGTGCTCCAGGGCCCCCTTATCGCTGCACATCAGTGGAGTCTCACAGCTGACAGTTCGTAAATCCTGAGTTATTTACTGCGCACCACCTGTCTCAAGCAGTAAATCTTACTTTCATTTACCCAAAGTTAACTTCTTTTAAGAGGGAGTAGTGTTGCCCGTGAGCCTTTTGGAAGATGTATTGATTACAAGTTCACAAAACTCAAGGCTAATGGACAGTTTGGGTGCGTTCCAGGACGTCAGGAAATCAGTTGTGCCCTTTCTGGCTGATCTTGAAAGTGTCAGGGCTCAGTAACACTATCCAGAGGCGAGCAGAAAAGTGAAGCAAGAAGAAAACACTCTCCTGCTGTACGTTACTTGTCTCTGATCTGGGCTACGTGATCAGTCTGGAGCGGTGCTGTGCTGGAAGTTGGAGGGGTAATTACACAGGGCGGGACACCTCCCAGTGGGGTGTGATGAATTAGGAAAGCAAGTCAGGCAAACCCATTTAATATTTTGATGCCACACATCAGGAAGGGGGGGAAAGACTTCAGGCTCAAGGATACGAAGTATTTTTTGCAAGCATGATGTACCTGTAGAAAAACATTTTGTTGACTACCAGATTGCTGCCCTTAGTTTTAACAGGAGTGAAGCATTCACGTGGACTGCATTAGTAAGGGAGAAAGGTTTCCACAAGCAAATACTTTTATCTGGAAACCAGATCTACCAGGAGATGTGAAAACGTAAAGACCCAATTCTTAGATCTCTTGCACCAATAAATTTCTGTGAAAGAAAAACAAGGCCGCTGCCTATACTTGTGCTGCTTACAGATTGCAGGCAAGTGCTTTCTTTAAACTCTGTTTTCTGAAATAATACTTTGCAAGATCTGTTTCATTCAGAAGGGGAAATGAAATTTGTTGCAGGCACAGCCACTTTGCTTTATGGAGCTAAATGGATTGAATGCAGTTATCTGCCTGATGTACTCCCTGGGCATAATGGAGTCTTCTGACCACGTCAAAAGGGGAAGAAAGGCAAGCCACTTGCATTTTGTGCCTCTGTGGATAAAGTGGAACATGATGAACCCATTTCATTTGCAACATGAAAGCAGACTTGAAGCATATTGGTTGGTGTGTCTTGTTTGCTTTTTTTTTTTCTGGAACAGTGGCATGGGTATTTTTTCTGTCCTTGGCAGATGCATGTCACAGACAAGCAATCCCACCAGATAATGTTGTCACTAGCACTTAATGTCAAACAGGGGTCTTGTAAGTCATCCTTGTGGCTTTGCACGGCAACTAATGAAATGCTGAGTGAACTGATAAGTGTCCCTTTCACAGCCAGCCTGACAAAATGTGGAAAAAGCTACATTTGAGCAGATCCCTGGCTTTTGTACCCTTCCATCACTCCAGGAGCTGGGATGGGATTTGCTCTCTTAGTTCTGGCTGGAAACAATGGGCATGTGATGGGTTGAAGGTGGACTTACTCGTTTATTTGGTATTTCAGCACGGCCTCATTCAGAATATGAAATTGTAAGTCTCTTTCCTTTTATTCCCAGAAAGGATTTAAGTTTGAACTTATTTTTGCTTCATATTTGTGGGTCTTTGGGATAACGGACCCCAAGAACACTTTGTTCCATGAGATCTAGTGATCTCATCTCTCTGTATCCCTGCTCTCTTTCCCATTCTCTGCATACCATGTCTACACAGGCTTCAGGTGTTTCAAACCTTCAGTTGTTTGCTGATCAAGTCTTCATAGTCTTATTTTCCATAATAACTTTAGTAGTTGCTTTGAAACCTCTGTTCCAAGCTTAACCAGATGTGAATTACAAGCCAGAAGCTCTTGAATAGAGCCTGTATCTAGAAAGAGGCAATTTTTCTATACACCACAAACAGCAAAATAGACTTGCATCAGTGGAGTGTCTTGTAATACAAGTACTAATGGTCCCTGTACAGATCTAAATGGATCAGACTGAATTAGGTAGTGATAAAGATCTTAACAGAGATATCAAGGGTACAGTAAGCACAAAATATAAATGATCTCCCCCAACCCTACCTGGAAACCCTACCAGCTGGGGCTGTTGTCCCATGCCTCGTCATGGAATTTCTTGTGTGGAGACACATCTCAGAAGAAGAACCTGATCAAGTGTCACTGTTTGGACTTACACAGCCTCAATCCTGCATGGGGCTTTTACTCCTTCATGTGTGGCTCTTTAGTAATTGCTGCGAATGAGCTCAGCTCCAAGTCATTTAGGATCTTGTCAGAGTGTTTGTGCCTAAATGGCCTGGGTGAGGCAGGTGGATGTTTTTTCCTGGAGATGGTGAAATGAAGCTCTCCCAATGCTGTGTGTGCCAGGGCTGTGCCCTCAGGCCAAAAACTCGGTCAAGAGCCACCATGCTACAGGCACTGATCAGGCAAATAGTGCAGTGGTGATTTTCCAGAGGTGATTATAGTAAGGAAACAGAAGACAAAGAGGGAAGTGTCATTTCAACATTATAGATGGTGTTGGGAGGAGAATACCCATTTTAGTGGAAATAAGCCATTTACTTAACAGCATGGGTTACGCCAGTAGAAAAGGGGTTGTCCTGCTTTCACTTGGCTTCTTTCCAGTGTGAGTAAAGGTGTATTGCAGACACAGCCTGTATGCAGTGCAGCTGGCGAGGATGAGATAAACCTCTGTTAGAGGAGCAAACTCTTTCATCTGGAGAGAAGACCTGAAATGCCTTTTCCAACCCACTTAAGAAAGTGAGGGCTGAAGCATCCTTCCCTGCTGGCTGAAAAATTTCATTGGGCTCAGCTTTCACACGAAAGCAAATTAAAGCTAAAGAAAACACAACAGGGAAAAATCCCATCAACTCACAGCACGGCTCACCTGCAGAGAAGTCTTTTTTTTGACAATTCTCTTGTTTTGTTTTTAATTTCCTAATTAGAAATAATGATGTCTTTCCTGGGTCAAGAAGACCTCCTTGCAGTGAAATATTAGACCACTTTTCACAGTGTAACTAAAAATAGGCAGACATGCACACATGTGTATGTGCACACACTAGCGAGAATAAACATGCAATGCTCTTTGCTTAATTATGAACATACTTTCTTCGGAAGAAAAACGCCTTTGCCTCTAGTTAGTTGTTTTTCAAGTAAATAGTGAGAGGGAGTTTTCTGAAGAACAGATGGACTGGAATGAGGAATAGAAATATTTTCAGTCAAAGAGGGGCTGGATGATGTAATAAGCCACAGGAACAAAGTTCAGTTATTTTGTGCTCTCGTCCAGACC